CCAGATACTAATCTCATTTATACCAGTGCAAATCCAAATTGTCTTCACTGAAGTCAATGGAATTATTCCGATTTACAGGGGTGAAATGATTTTATAGCCTGGCCCTTAGCCTATTACCTAAGAGCTGAATGTCTGTTACCTTGTAAAGAATGATGTCCAAAGTATCTTTATGTACTACTACTAGGTGGAAGGGGAGATATTTTTTTTTTCTCGATAGGATTTTTCTCTGTGTCAACAACCATCTGACTTTTGAGCTTTATTATCTGACAGCTTTGGTGAGCTCTCCATAGAATTCCCATGTAGGAATGGCTCCTTAAGAAGATTTCAGCATCCTCTAGTTTAGCTCCCCTGGTCCCTTCCCCATGCAGTCTGGATTTTAGCGCATGTGACCTTAGCTGCTTTAGTCTCTCTCAGAAGTTCTTGACTCTGACTGCTTGGTGGAGTTGGGAGAGTGATTGGAGTCGGGGAAGGTGTGGAGAAAAGGGATTAGGTAATGGAAAGGTCCCAGCAGAACATTGGAATGTATGCTGAATTACTGAACAATAGGCCTTCTGCTCTCTTGAACCTGGCACATGCAGGGACTCCTCCCTGAGTTCTGGACAGCAGCAGTGTGTCTGGAAGTGCCTTCCTGTCCCTGAGCCCTCAAAGCCCTGTGTGGAGCAGACTGCCCTGGGGGAGACGGAGTTATGCAGAGGGAGCTGGCCATCATCCAATGGAGTTGAATGGCTAATTTATATTTTTTTAAAGGTATGAACAATAGTAGGGAGAGGAGCAACTGGGGATAGTCTGTGTAGAAGAGGAAAGTCCCACATTAATCCATAAACTAATAGACAGTGAGGTCACCTTCTCCAGAGGCAGAAGAGGAAAATATTAAGGGAGCATAGAAGCATATGGCTTGATAGGGAGTTTTTAAAGGACAATTTGAAAAGAAATGTGTGTGATTATGATCCAAGAAGCCACTCATATGGTAAACCTATGTAAGCCATGTGTTCTTATTACTGTTACCCTCATCCTTGCTGAGTTTTACAACTCCACGCAGAAGAGAGAGAGAAGTAGTTGTGTACATGCATTCCTATAGTTATACAGAAGCTATCCAGGTGATGCTGAGGGAAGATGCACAGTTACAGAAGAATAGAGAGCTCAAATGATGGTCATGTGCTGAAGGATGAAGAGCTAATAAAGTAGTCTCCATGCTTGCAGAAATGAAGCAGTGGTTCTGTTCTTGTCAGCACTGCATATACATATTTGTGTATAACATTAACATTATTAATCCAGTCAGTGCACGGGGGATATTTGTTATATAGCTAAAGTTCATGAGTATGGCCCACTGGTATATTTCATGTAACACAATAGTCTGTCTAAACATGTAAGAGTCCTTACTGTGCACCAGGCAAGATCTCAATGAGTTAAATCATTTGTCAGAGGTTAAATAGGATGCATTTCTCCCATTCATCCAAAAGTCCAACTGAACTTATTTTTTCCCCCTTGAAGTCTTTAAACCATGATTTGAGGACTTCAATAGCTCAGACATAGGTAAGGGGTTTATTACAGGAGTGGGTGGGTGAGATTCTGTGGCCTGCATTGTGCAGGAGGTCAGACTAGATTATCATAATGGTCCCTTCTGACCTTAAAGTCTATGAGTCTAAAATCCTTAGCACAATATTTAGTAAAATGTCCACTAGAAGAAGCTGAAGAAGCGCTTTCTCATAGTAGGATACATGGTTTCAGAAGCAGTGGGGCTTGTGCTGGCAGGGCATGCAAATCTTGAGTATTCCATATCCGTATCTATAGCCAGAAATTCACTGTAAATTAATAAAACTAAGCACACAAAAATAAATCCACCCATGGCCAGATCAGTACTTCCCTGTTAGGGAATCACGTTGTTTGATTTTTAGTATTACCTAGGCATTGCATGATGTGTTCTGTATTGTAGGAGTGCAGTATACTAATCTGGCATATTTTGAGACCAGTTAAAAGGAAAGAAGTTGAATAGTACTTGGGTGAATGATTAGTCTAAAGGCATAAATGTCTGTTACCATTCTTAGATCTTTTATCAAGTTCAGGTGAAAAATTAGACTTTACCAGGAAAGGACAGGTCCCATTCCCCAGACTTGAGCAACTTACTTATTCCTTTCTTAACAAAAATTATTGGTGTCCAAGTCCATTCACCTTGATGACGTTTCAGAACAAAGCAATCCTGTTACACAAGATTATAGACCCACTTTATTTTAAGTTTCCAATAATTTCAAAGTAATTTGCTATTCATAGAAACAACACAGAATTCATTTGTCATTCATGTGCACCTGCCCATTCTTTTGAGCTACACTTCATTTCAGCCTTGGTTACAAATCCACCCTGTTTTACAGAGGGCCTGATTGTGGCTTTGTTGGGTGAGAATGCCACACACTCAGTCCTGGTTTATTAATTTCTAACTTTTCGTTAAAAAAAAAAAAGCTTGCCTTGTGATTACAATTACTATTAAAGTAAGAAATGACAGACATACCGAAAAAGATAGTGACTTTCTCCTGGCACATAGGCAGATCATGATTGATTTCTCCTATGGTAGTTTGATTGCCCTTTACAATTTACCACATTTTATACACATCCAAATTACATTTTCATGAATTCTCTTCCAATCACCGTTAAGTATTATGAATATTACATATCTTGAGCAATTCTCCATATACATGCATAAACAACAATTGGATTAACTTTTGCTGTCCTCACTATTTTCATGTTGTTATTTCTCTTTTCTAGTTGGTTTGTTGCCACTGATCATGCACTAATGAAGAATGCTTAACCAGGCCACTTTTACCCTTTGCATAGGATCTTTTGTGGACTTTCCTGTTTTTCTCTAATTGCCCTTTGGCAGCTCATTTTTGTGTATCTGTTCTTCTTCAATCTAAGCACATCATGTGGTCAAAACATCCCCTTTGTCTTATGCAACAGCAGCTGTAAGCAAATATATTCAATAACACGGTCACTAAAAAGACAACATTCATGTCAAGCAAACTAGGCCAAAGCCAGACAAGTCAGCACAAATATCTTTCTATCCAAACTTATACCTCAGACATGACTCTCATAACAATTCTCAATAGCTTCTACTTGCGTTAGTGGAGGAAATCCAGAGTGAGCACAAATACCCGGTTAGACCGACATAGAAAAAAGCCACCTGAGGTTCCAGAAGAACTAGAAGATCCAATGGCACCTGAAAAATGACAAAATTATTGAACATATGTTTGAAAATCCCTCTCAATGACATGGATGAAATCAACCTAACATTACCATCAATGCCTGTCCCTCAGTCCTTCTTAGCCATGTTAAGTTTCATCTAATTTGTGCTCATCCAAGTCCCAATATCAGGCAGACTCCAGGAAGGCAAAGACGCTGCACTCTGAGTCTGATACATATGAGACTCAGAAATGAATGACATTCACATACTGCTGTGTTTGTTCCAGCAGCCTGTTGAATTGGAGGGTGATAGAATAGAACTTTGAGTTATACCATGTGAGATACAGGGGGGAATACCCCAAACCATATGTTTCAGTCAAATAAGAATGGGAATCCTTGAGATCCATACCAGGCAGTCTGCATTCCTCATGTCAAGAGAACCTAATGATCAATGGCATTAGGGGGTGAAATCCTGATCCTATTGAAATCAATGGAAGTTTTCCCATTGACTTTAGTGGCGCTTCATTTTCACCCAAGAATTTTTGACATATCAAAATAAAATTGGGTCTGTCAGTCCTGATGAGTGGACTATAAAATTGGTCCTTCACCCTGCGAAGAACAAAGGTGGACTTTTTCATCTCTTTCTGTCTGTCTCTGAGGTTTGAGGCAGTGCCAAGCAGGGGGAAACTTGGACCAAGGGAGTATTTTGGGGAAGCACTAGGCCTCTATGCAAAATATATTTGCCCAACTCCTCTGGGTATCTCAAGTCATTTCCTTCCCTGCCAACCCTCCCTACAATAGAACAACCTCAAGGAAAATGGACCCTTCTGCTGATCTTTGTATTGCTTTTACCTACTTAAGCAGGATATGACTCAGTTTGTATTATTTATGTTTACTATCTACGCACACCGGTTTTGTACTGTTTGTGTGAAGTGGCCTTGGGCTTGTCCTGTAATGTTTTTAAGGTACATTTTGATATACATGTGTGTGTGGTTTAAATGTTTGTGTGAATAGAGAAATCAAACTGAGCATAAGAAAACACTCCAAATACTAATGATATGGCCAATAAATCAACATTAAAAAGTTACAGTTGGAATGATTTACTGCATTAGATATTGTGTTTTCTGCAGTCCCATGCTAACACATCAAAAGATTTTATTGCATATACTCAGAATTCTTTATATAGTTGTACTGTATGAATGACAGCAGCCTGCATTTAAATGTCATTTGGTATGTAGGCTCTCAAAGCCCCAAATTTTTACAAATATAATTGATTAAGCCTTCCCACACTCTGTGTTGTGGTGAACTATTATGAGACCTGCCATACAACTGGGTAAACTGGGGCACAGAAGTTAATTGGTTTGCTTAATGTATCCAGCTTCTAAAGGGAAGAGCTAGGAAGAGATCAAGTCCATGCCTCTGATCACTAGAACTTATTTTTCATACATTTGAAAAATTACTGCTTCTGTCAGCCATTAGAATGTTAATTTTGCTTTTAACTATGTGTAACCCACACAGCTCCTGGGGTGGTGTTCTGTCCCATCTAGTGGCACTGAGACCACTTAGAGAGAGAGATAAAATGAGTCTGCTCTACAGCCTTAGCTAACAACCCATTGGCTTTTAGCTCATGTGGTAGAGGCTCATGCACTAAACTCCAGAGGTCCCAGGTTCAATCCCGCCCACCAACAACTGGGGTCTGTCGGCGTTACATATGCACAGATTAGTCATATGGTAGCAGGGAATACGGTTAATTAACAATGTCCTCCTTAAAGATGCAAACTCCTAAACTCAACCCTTTCCCCCCCCCTCCCCTTTTATGTTCTCTGAAGGCCTGGCCGTGGACTGTATGGAATTGACAGCATGCCAGACCTGCGTAGAAAGAAAAGTTTTCCCATCGTTCGAGATGTGGTGAGTAACCTCTGATACCAAGAAACTATTGATTCATTTGAAAATTATCTCTAGCTCTTTCATGTAATGGCTACTGCGTTTGTGTGGAAAACTGTTGTATGGAAAACAGTGTCCAGGAAGATGGATCTAGACCAAAGTAAGATGTGGTAATTATGAGTTACTAAATATGATTATATTTCATTTAATATATACATTTGATTTGAGCTGAAATTATTAATAGACTCAGATAATACCTAAGTGTATGTCTGTGTGTACCATACGGGTAATAAACTATTCAACATAATGCCAAATTAGCTAATGAGCACAGCTGTTCCTCGGTGCTTGGGATACCAATTTGTTTGACTTACTGTGCGATTGAAAGAGGAAAAACAGACATTTTAAAACCCTAAATTTAAAATGATTTAAAGATTTATCTGTTGTTTTGTTATAACATGATGGGATCTGTTACCTTAGCAACCCTTGTAGGGCATAGTAATCTAGGCAAAAAATCATTCCAGCAAGAGGGAAGGAATTTAAATTCTGTGATCTCTGATTTATGCTGAGTTTCAGTCTAGTCGAGGTTAACTAGAAATCTTTCAACTCCGAACAATATTAATTGCTATTCACGTTTCCTTGAAGAGCCTCATGAACAATTCCTCAAGTTGCATAAACGAGTGGCATCTGCTGAAATAAATGGGTTTAACAGTAGTTATTAAAAGGTTAACCTTAACCAAGTTACCCCATTGTATTACTTCAGATGCCACAGGTATTTTCTATACTGGGAAATAACTGCACTATCTCAGATGTCACAAGGATGGTTTCTTTTAAAGCAGAATTATGTACCTTTTAATGAAGAATAATGATAATGACATATTGTGGACAGTCCACTGTTGATTAAAATATATAGCCAATTGATTGACTACACTTATGGTTCATTATTAAAAATATTTAAGAGACCAAATAACCAAGCTTAGCCAAATTTATTACATAAAAACAATGCAGTGCAATATAAAAAGGAGACATACGTACCCTCCTTTTGGGAAGCAATTCTTATCTTGCAGCATATTCACCTTCCACAGTTCTGCTTCCTAGATACACCTGTATTTATAATAGGGTTTTTTGACAGTTATAAACCCTTTATATGCCATTAAAGATCCAACCGACCAATTCCAATTTGTTTCTCTTATACCATGGGGTACTCCACTTATCTTTTGTTTTGGACACAGTTTTCTAGGTACTATTCCACGAGAAGACATCTCCTAAGCTTGTACCAAGGGCAGATCATGTATTTGTCTTTGACAAGTGTCATATTTGCTAATGCCAAAAGCTATGTTTAGCTTTGTAGAGTGGGATATCTATTTCTTGGCATAAGTGAGCAAAAGTGTTAACATAATTGCCCTCATGCTGGATATAATAGAACATTAATGTGGTGCACCCTATGCCTAACATATGTATTGGCTAGCACCACAAACCATGAATTATTTACTAAAGAAATTTATGAAACATTTCAGTAAATTAAAATTTTGATTTATTGAAATCAGGAAAATTTAATGTACAGTATTGAAATTCACAGGGGGAAAAAGTGAAATTTTTCAGATCCACGATAAAGTGGGAATTATTTGCTCTTTTCTGCCAAATTAAAAAATCTCAGGACTCTTGATTTGTAAATTACTGTTTATTATAATGCTGGTGACTGCATTAATACTAATTGAAGAAACTGTGGACCCAATTTTGTAGTCTGGAGAATGAGTCTCGAGAGAATAGAAAGTAATGGCCAAAATTTTCAAATCTGGGTACCTGAAGTCCATATTTAGGCATTTAAATGTATGTGGCCTGCTTTTCAGAAGTGCTCAGTACCCATAAATCTCACCGAAATCAAGGAGAGCTGCAGATGCTCAGCAACTTTGAAGATCATTTCAACTTAGGTGCCTAAATATGGACTTGAATTGACTAGGTTTAAAAATTCCAGCCATTACTTCTTTCTTTAACTAACCAGGTATGAAAATATTGCCCTAAAAGAATAAATAAATAGCAAAAATTTCAAGTTTGATAGATGACATTGCCAGGCACACATAGAGAAGAGTGAGGAACAGAGACCCTGAAAAGGCACTGAGTACATTCTGTGAGATCCTGACCACTATCAAAACCACTGAAGTCTTTGTAAGTTGAGAGGGGGCCCAGCATCCTGTCAGAGAAACCCAGTAGCCTGGAGAATCAGCCTCGGAATGAACATGCTATTTGAAAATACAGAGACAGTTGAAAATAACTAAGCTCTACAAAAACATGGTGCTTCTACTATATCATCAAAAACCCGATTCATTTTTTTTTAATTGAACATTAGATGGTAGCTGCAGAGCTCTTTAAAAAAATTTCCTAGTGAAAGTTATCACTGCCAGCTCAGAAATGACTGTATCTCTTAGTAATGTGGTGGTTAAACTAATACCTGTCTTTTTTAGTACTATTGTAAATAACTATATGCATAAATGTCACTCATATGCCCACAAATAGGAAAAAATGTATTATGGAATATCAGATGAGGAATGAAAGAATGCCAGTCAGTATTTTTACATGTGTCAATATTATTATCTGTGAATCCGTCAGAAATGTGGAAATAACAGTGTTAGAAATGCTTGCTGCTCAGCTGCTTTGCTACTGATCAATGTACATATCATTGTTTGACAGCTTTCATATAGTAAATCTCCCTAATTATTAATACTCTCTCTAATTTCTTCCATATCACCGCTGGATTTGTCAGGCTATGGTAAGTGCTTTTATACCAGTGAATGTTCTGAAATGTCATAGTCTTAAGGATTTCACAATTGCCATATTTCATGCTGACCTTTAATTGCAAATTAGAAATGCTGCTTTATGAGCAAGATGTTAATCCTAAATGAGGATATGGTTTATGAAAGTAGCCATCTGCTGAATAATAATTTTAAAATTACTAGAAATTAAAATATGTACATATCCTTTTAAAAAAGTTTTTAAATTAAAAAGCTTCCGGTTACAAATGGAAACAAGCAGATAACTTAAGGCCCAATCCTGCCAGGCACAGAGCACCTTCTCATGTGGTGCTTTGTTGTTCGGGTACATAAGTTGTTGGATGGGTTGTGTGTGCATGAGGAAAGAATTCCAATAAAGCTAGACACAAGAAATAGCTTTTCATTTAGTTCTGAAAGTGGTTAGTGCCACAGTAATTCTTCTCTCTTGCAGGCAGGGCCGGCTCTAGGATTTTTGCCGCCCAAGGCAAAAACAATTTTGGCCGCGCCCCCCGCCCCCCCCGTTTTTTAATTACCCCACCCCCGGCCCCGCCTCAACTCC